GGGGGGGGGGGGTAGGGTAACCACTGAGCTAAATCCCCGGCCCTCCAGCCCTTTTTTATTGAGACAAGGTCTTGCCAAGTTAGTCGCAGACTGGGTTAGGGTTAGGTACTTGCCACTCTCCTGTCTCAGCCTCCCAGAGTGCGGGGATCACAGGCGTGCCCTCCATGCCCAACTTGAGCACAGTTCCAGAGGGACGGTGGCAATCAGGACAGTGAGGGGGAGGGAAGACCGTAGCTTTGACCTCGGCAGCTCTGCCTGTGACCTAAAAACCCGGGCGGCTTTGGGCCTCACTTTCCTCCTCCGTGAGGCGCTGGTTCAGGTATCCGTTTTGTAGCATCTCCGCCCAGCGGGGCGAAAGGGGGTTTGGACTAAAGTCTGAGCCGGGGAAGCAAGAGCAGCGGGTGCGAGTTGGGGGCGCGGCCACCCGCAGACGCCGGGTCCCCGCCTCCAAGCAGGGCGGGCCCCAGGCTCGGCACGCGGAAGACGCCCGTTCCCTCGGGGGGGAGGTCCCGGCCATTCCACCCAGAACCGGCCGCCTCAAGCGTCCAGGTCCAAGAGCTGGGCTCTCGCTTTCCGTCAGAAAATTCCGCCCACCCTGGCAGGGCAGGGGCGGGGTCTCGCGGCCGTGGCCGTTGCCCCACCCAACCGCTTCCCAACGGCTCCCTGGGCCTGGTCGGCGGGGCGGGGAGGCGCGGGGCGGGGAGGCGCGGGCCGGGCGAGTGCGCCTGTGCGCGCCTGCGCAGAAGCATGGGGCGTGGTGCGCTCCGCCGCCCCGCCCAGGCCTGGAGTCTCTGCCCGCCCCATCTCCCAACCTCCTCAGCGTGGCGCCGACGCTGCGTGCGGCGCGGGTTACCCAGAGTGCTCTGCGCGGGGGCCGCTCACTGGAGTTTGGTTCTCGAAGCGGCGGTGGCGGTGGTGGCGGCGCTCCCGGGGCTCCTCCTCCTCCCTCGGCGCCGGTGGCGGCCGGGGCCCGACCCCGGCTCCCCTCTCCGCCACCCCGCGCGCCCCTAGCTCCCCCGGCGCCGCGGGGAACATGCGGCTCCGCTCTCGGAGGCCGGCGAGTGAGTGACCCCCGTCCCCCGCCTCAGCCCGCCCGCCCGCCGGCCCGGCCGCTCCCCCCCGCCTCGCCCAGGCAATGACAGCGGCTCCGGCGTCTCCGCAGCAGATGAGGGACCGGCTGCTGCAGGCCATCGACTCCCAGAGCAACGTGAGTACCCCGTTCGCGCCGGGATGAGGCCGCGTGGGCCCGGGACCCTCCCCCGCCCCGGGCCGCCCGCCTGTGGGTCCCGGGGGCCTCGCTGGGTGCCCCCCTACCCCCAAGGGCCGTTGCCATCCCGGCTGCTAGCCCGCGGGGTCCGGGCCGGGGCGGTTGGCGCGGCGGGCGGCGCTCGGTACGCAAGGCCGAGGCTTCCGCGAGGCCTGGGCGGAGGGGCGAGCGGGGCCCGGCCGAGCCTCCCGACCCCTGCCCCGTCCCTGGCCAGTCCGCCTCGCTCGCCCCAGGACGCGGGGCCCGGAGCCCCCGGCGAGGGGGGAGGGGAGGGACGGCGGGGAAGCAACTGGTGTCCGGGGAAGCTAACGCGGGGTCGGGGAAGCCTTCCGCGCCCCTTCCTGGCTGGAAGTCCTTTTCTGGGCCACCAGGGAGGCCGCGTCAGCCCAGTACCTGGACCCACAAAAACCGGACTCCTGTGGGGTCGCTGCCCGGGACAGGGCCGGGTGTGGGGTGCCTCCTGGGGTGCCCCTTGCGTATCTGGCCTGGCCAGAGCCTGGCTGTGGGTGGTGGAGTAGAGGTAGTCGGTCACACTTGGATTCACCCAGAAACTCCGCTTCTTTGGTCTCTTCCCCACTGCGGTCTCGCCGGTGGTTTGTGACCTGGGCTGTCAGGGTTAACTCCATGGCCTGCCTGCTCAGGAGCCCCTTGGCAGAGGCTGTTGTTTGAAGAGGGACTCCCTGCACTCCCGACTGTAGAGGAAGCTCACCATCGTCTCAGGTGTTTCTTAAGGGTTGGGGGAAGTTAGGGTTCTTTCTTTTTGCTGAAGGTAGTACGGCTGTACCTAGATGCTGTGGTATCCAGGTACGGAGGCAGCATTTGCTGGGAAGTGGCTGTGGAAAGCCCTTTCTAATATACTGGGGACGGAAGGAGTCTTGGGTTTGGCCAAGCAACTCAGGCTTCTCTCATGGGAGGAGCCTTTGCTCTTGCTGTCCGTGAGATGAGTTTGGCCAGTTACTCTCAGCGGTGTACTTTAGTCTTTTTTTTGAATAATTCACATTGGTAAAGTCTTGGTAGAAATTGAGGGGCCATGATCTTTCTAAGGTTTTGGTTCCTGTGTCATAAGGTTCCTGGTTCCTGGTCTTCAGGCTCATAAGATTGACCTAATGGTAATTATCTTTAACAAATATTATTGGCTTTTTTGTTATGACTTTGGGGGCAGAGAAGTTACAGGCAATGTAAAACCTTTTAAAAGGTCTTTTTTGCAGTAACTGGTACTACTGCTGTTCCAAGCCTAAAACACTGAAGGATAAAAAAGTAGATGTGAAAAACTAGCCTTGGTGACTTTGGCATCTTTCTTGGAGCCAGACTGTCATTTCTTTTTCCAGTGCTCACTTTGTTTTTCCAGAATCTGAGAGGTTGCTGAGATATTAGCACAGGTCCTTAATGTCACCTAGAAGAGCTTTGGGACCAAGAGGCGCTTTGACAGGTGGTCATGGTGTTGTAGCTTAGGTGGGCAGTGTTGCAGGGCTCCGGTGTTTGTAAAGTTCCAATTTAAAGGGTTCCTTGGAGTGGGAAACAAAGAGCAGGAGGGAGCAAACCTTAGTTTTCTGTGCCTTAGGGTGTGCACAAACGTGATATTCATGTAGGCCCATGGTTAGGGAAATGGCATGGAGTTCATATTTCCTGTGGCTTATTTGTGGGGGACTCTAGTGATGGGTTGGGTCGAGCCCTGCTAACGTAGGTGTGGTGGGTGGGACTGGAAGTTTGAGAGTTGAGGAACGAACCTCTTTTACACGCCATCCTTCTCGGTGACCTCCGTGAACATCACTAGCGCATTTGACAGGAGTGTGCGGCTTTGAGCAAGC